AAGTCCTGAGGCAAGTCTTGTGTGGCCACGTGTGTTCGATTTGAAACCCTAACATAAGTGAGTGATTAATAATATATTTGTTCAAATATAAATATAGGGTCTTGCTTAAAGTATCACTTTCTGTCCGTGGAAAGACCACGGTTGACCCAAAGTACTATGGCAGGTAAGCAACTCGTTTTTTTCTATATCAACAAGTGATTATCTTTGTCTAGTAACTTTTTTCAGTGGGTATATAAGAATAAGCAAAATATATTAGATTTTCATTAGAAAATGTAGAGGATAAATACGAGACGGAGATATTGATGACTATAAGTCGAAACACATAAGAATTTTTTTCTTGAATGAAGTTTGGGAAAAACTCATTCTTTATTGACTAATGGGACGGGTTTGCTTTGTACTGATTACTACGTACAATTGAATATATACGAGACATGTGTCGATCACATATTTTGAAAAATAACCTTTAAGGCCTCGGAATTTTGATTTAATATATTCAAGAAACTTAATAGTTTAATATTTAATAACTAAATAGGGGATGCAATGACATAATGACCATTGTTATTATAAAGGAAAACATTTAGTGGCGTTTGGCAATCACCCGTTTTTGTTTTTTTTTTTTTCGTTTTTTTTTTTATTTTATGGCTTAAAAAAAAATAAAAATGTTTGATGAATGTTTATGTCTTTTTTTTAACATCTCTGCTTTAAAAACAAAGTTAAAATATGAAAACATCCAAAAAGATGCTTTTGAAAACATAAAAAAAAAAACACATGCACGCGGCTTTTAACGAGGTCTTGATTTTGATTCTCTTTAGCAATAAAAAATAACATTTTTACTGAGGTATAAAAAGTCATATCTCTTTCACCCCTTTTTGTTTCTCTTTCTCTCTCTCTCTGTGCCAACAACGAAGACAAAGCCGAAGCCAAAACCATCGTCATTGTCAATCATTCCATTTTTTTAGGTCTATTGTCTCTCTCGACTCACTCTCTTGTTTGATTAGTTTTCATGTTTTTCATTCTTCTTTATTTCAGATAGAATTTTTGGATCGTTTGCTCAACAAATTCTTTAATTAAGGTTCCCATTGTTGTTGATATAAATTTGTGAAGGTGATCGATTACGAGTTCTAACTAGATCTTTCTTTTCTTTTGCATTATTTTATTATTGAAGCTTGAACGATGAAATTGGAACCTACAATTAGGGTTTGCACTTATTTGGATTCGATTATATTGATTATGAGGGTTTTAGCTTATTTATGGTAATTATATGATTTTAGGGTATTGTGTTTGACATGACTTAAAGGAGTGCTTGTTGTGCGTGGTGAATTGAATTGATCATTTGTCAAAATGACAATGAACAAGCGAAAATCTGTGGTGGTGGGTTGTGGGTTTCAGTGGTGGGTTTCGATGGTGGAGTTGGGTGGTGGGGTTTAGGTAGTGAATTTTTGGTATAATACAAAAATTATTTTTTTATTTTTGTTTTCACAATTTTTTAAATATAAAATGAATATCAAAAAAGGGATCTATATATATGTGTGTGTGTGTGTGAAAAACAAAAAAGGGATCCCCGGAGAATTGTTATGATCTGTTTGGTAAAATGGATAAAAAAATAGAAAAATAAAAAATATGAGTAATATAATTTCTATCCTTTAAGGGAGGGAAGAATCATTTCTTTTTTTTTTTTCTTGTGTTTAATAAGAATAATAGAAAATAGGAATGATTAATTTTTATTTTTTTTGTATTTGATAAGATTGAAAAAGTATTTTTAAATTTTTTTATAAAAAAATATAAATATACATTTGACCATTATATCTATATATAAAATTAATATATACATAATATGTAATTAATTAATAAAAAATGCTATGTCCGCAAAATCTTTTAACAAGTCGTTGATCTCAAATTATGTGTTAGATTGAGAGTCATCGGATAGTTATTGAAAACTTGCAGGACTTACTAATCTCATGATTCACATTGATTTAAAATATAAAATTTAGAAAAAGTGTTGGTGGATGTAAAATAGTCGATAAAATTTTTCTATTTTCTTTTCTTATCAAACACTATATTTTATCTATCACTTCAATTTTTTATCGTACCAAATAAAACATTAAAATGGGTTAATTCATTTTTCTTTCAAATTAAGTATCNTGATTTGCACCTTGTAGTGCGTTAATCATTCCCTTTCCCATCAACACCACTTCAATACCTACTACCTCTCACTGTACGTGTTCGCCAATCGCTACATTTTTTTCTCTTTTATTGTGAGAATTAAGGCTATTAATAGATAAATATTATTATTACGTCGGATTTGTAAAAATTATAATTAATGTGAGTCAAAATATTTATAAAAAATATTATTTAAACTTAATTTGTTGACTTTATTTACTAGTTTAATAAATCATATTTTCTGAATTTGTAACGAGTCTCAATCCAATAAAAAAATTTACTGTCAATTCTAATAACAAAAAGTGTTTAAAACTTAAATAGTATTACTTTTGCCGTATCTTTTTATTTTAATTGCTCACTATTTTAAGTTTTTTTTGTTTTATATTACATCATACATATTCATTTTCACTTTTTATTTGTTTTTTATTTTTTTTGTTAAATCAAGTATAAAAATAAAATTCATTAGAATAATAGTATGCAAACTATTAAGATATAATTTGAGGACAAATAATAGTAGTCATTAAATTATTAATTAGTTCCAACTGAATGAATTTATTATCAATTCAATTGTCATAATGTAATAAATTTATAAATTATAACTTAATAGTATTAATTTTAATTAAACAAATTTTTATAACTAGAGATTAATTTCAATATTGATTCAAATTTTTATACAAATTTAAGTAAAAAATTTGATTTAATACAAAGCACTGAAATAGATAAATTTAAATATAAAGAAAAACAAGTTCAAATTTAAATTTAGAAAATGGTAAAATATGACCATTAAAATCTGTAAACTCAAAAACCTCATCAGTTTAAATCTTGACAATTCTTTGGGACCATGCCATGAAAGATTTATTCCTCTCTAGTCCCGGCGTGCATGTCTTACCTTTAATTAAACCGAGGAGGGGATTAGTTGAGTTGCCAATAAACTGGGCCGGACACCACTGACCTTTGAACAAAAAAAGAAAGTGAATTTTGGCCACTAAAGATTTTAATTTTTCTTGATATGATTAAAAATTTGAGTCATTTTTTAATACGTTGGAGTAAAGAATTGAATATTTTTTTTTAACTTATTTTTACTCAAAAATTAAAATTTGAGTGGGGATTTAAGTAAAGTTAGATAAGGTTTGATAAATATATATATATATTATCCGTACATGCTCAAGCACGTAGCCACATGCGCGTAAGCCAGGGGAATGAGAGACCAAAGAATTCTGGAATCAATGCGGTCTATCAAATATTTTAAATTCGAATTAGGTTCTCGACGAATACTTTGAACCAGCTGTCACTCAACTAATAGCCAGACCGAATGCCTGGGCACCTGCCCGAACATCTCTCTCTCTCTTTCTGGTTTATTTATATATAACTTCTCACGGCCTGCATTCTCTTACTTGCTTCAAACTCTATCACACTTCACATTACAGATATCCATTTGAAAATCTCTTTCTCTCTCTAGATCAAAATTCTGAAGAGAAGAACAATGGCAGTGTTTCAGTCCACAGCTTCCAAGATTGCTCTGCTTGCAGTAGTCACTACGATTTTCACTCTCATCAGCGGTTCTCTTGCCGCTGAGGCTCCGGCGCCTGCTCCTGCTTCTTCCGCCGGAGAAATCTCTCCGTCTTTCGTCACCGGATGCGCTGTCGCTGTTGTTGCTTTCCTTTTCGGATCTGCACTCAAGATCTGAAGATCTCACCGTTCTATGAGGCTGTTTCTACTGGTTTACTCTTGTGTTCGTGATCGTGCGATGATCGTATATAGCAGTATATAGTATGGATTTGTCTATGTTTTCTGGATTTCTGAGATTTATGTAGGTTGATTGGTTTGTGATAATGTAGAACCTTGTTTCTGCTATGATTTTTTTTTACTTCTAGAGCTTTTATTTGGATTTTATTGAATACACTGTGTTTTGCTGCACAGATCTTATGCAATGCATGTCAGTTAGACGTTCCATTTAATGGTGATCTAGTCTTCATATCTTTTATTTAACAATTTTTAGGCTTTTCTTTTTTCCAGTTCATCGATTGAATCTTCTGTTTGTCAGTTTCTGAGCATTTGAGAAATCGTAGAGAACATAATAGACATTTAGAGGACTAAATTTCCCACAATATTCGGACCGATGTGAAAAACAACTGCTGCTAGTCTAATGGTCAATCTTGGATTCTGCTTTTAGTTCGTTGAGATTGTTTACAAACGAAAAGGATTTTGAAGATGGTAGACACTGTTTCGTTTTCTCATCAGATTCATGAAATCTTCTGTTGTTGATTATGACACAAAGACTTGAATAGATAGTATTAGTGTCAAGTTTCAAAGTTTGTTGAATTTCGTTCTGGTGTAGACTGGAAGTGAAATCTACCTTTGTTTTTAGTGGAGAATGAACTTCAAATTGTTCAATTGTTTGTTTGATTTTTGGTTTTTCTAAGCAAATGACTCTATCATTCGACACATGATTATATTAAAAATTATGTCAATTTTTCAGGTTTTAATAACATTATGCTAGAGTTTTAATATCTTTAGCTCTTGCTATATTCTCATTTTATTACTACAAATTAATTGCTCATTATTTATTTGTTTGATTCTGGGGCTTTGCCATTTGCTCTATTTTCATTGGATTAGTACCAAAATTAATTGTTTTTTTTTTCCAAGCAAATGTGTCGAGCTTAGAGTGGATGCGTGTTCTAATTGTTCTATTGTCATTTGATTACTACAAATTAATTCCTAATTCTTTATTTGATTTTGGTTTTTTTTTAGAAGCAAATGTCAAGCTTAGAGTGAATGCGTGTTTTAATCGATTTGCCACTTGTCCAATGTCATTTGATTGAGTACGAGTTTCCTGGCCATTAACTGCTACCACTTTCAAGGTATAGTGGCCAAATACCACCCCCCAACTTTGGGTTGAATAATGTGAAGCCATTCTCATTTTGAAAGTGTCCACTTTCAAATGCTTTAGTCTAAAACGAAATTATTAAGTAGCAAAGTAGTTCAGTGAATAGAACAGCGACTTATAATTTAAAATTTGACAATTTTTTTTAGGATCAGGTCATAAGAATTTATTTATCGTAAATTTTTTAATTTTGAAGTAAATGGTCTATTTTTAATCTAANAGGTAGTTCGGTGAATAGAACAGCGACTTATAATTTAAAATTTGACAATTTTTTTTAGGATCAGGTCATAAAAATTTATTTATCGTAAATTTTTTAATTTTGAAGTAAATGGTCTATTTTTAATCTAACCGAGAAAAAAATTAATTGAAATTTACATAAGTTGACCAACATGTTTTGACCACAATACCAAAAAAAGATGTTAGACTTGTAGCGTTGATCAGCTTGCGTAAATTTTAAAATTAACCTCTACAAAGAGAGNCGGTTCTATGAGGCTGTTTCTACTGGTTTACTCTTGTGTTCGTATATAGCAGTATATAGTATGGATTTGTCTATGTTTTCTGGATTTCTGAGATTNTGTTCAGATATAAATAAATTACGCGTACATCTATATATAAATAAATTACGCGTACATCTATATCTCCGCCTAAAGGTTTTAAGTTTTTACGTACTCACCTTCTTGGAGACCTTTTTTTCTCTGACCTCGTATCGTTCTAAGGTCAGATCACACAGCCATGTCCCAGGACTTACCAACTGTACAAACAAAAAGACACAGAAATTCAGATAGGTTATGTGGGGGTGAATGGAAAAATCATGGTACCATTGTACCTAATGGTAACAGAGGGGCCACATGAGACCAGAACGTCAAGGATCAAGCCCTAATATCATCTCTACACAACGAAGAAGAAGAAAAAAAACTAAAACCNTTTTATTTAACAATTTTTAGGCGATTCTTTTTTCCAGTTCATCGATTGAATCTTCTGTTTGTCAGTTTCTGAGCTGTTGAGAAATCGTAGAGAACATAATAGACATTTAGAGGACTAAATTTCCCACAATATTCGGACCGATGTGAAAAACAACTGCTGCTAGTCTAATGGTCAATCNAGACGGATTATCAAATCCAATTGGACTTTGCTAAAATTCAATCCAAACTCCGTGCCTTTTGTGATTGTGGTCCAAGCAAGGTATCACAAGGAAAGTAATTTACACGAGTTTATATAAAATACATGAAAATGCCGCACACAATAAAGAACATAAAAAATTAAAAACCATTCCACCTGTACCCAGTCTTGTCCCTTAGTGTTTTAATTTTTATTTTTTTTTAATTATTTCTCAGTCTAAATAGCTTTACATTAATAAAAAATCACAGACCACATGGTACATGGTTCACCCATCATTTAAATTCCCAATTCTACTTNTCTTCAGATATAAATAAATTACGCGTACATCTATATCTCCGCCTTAAGGTTTTAAGTTTTTATGTACTCACCTTCTTGGAGACCTTTTTTTCTCTGACCTCGTATCGTTCTAAGGTCAGATCACATAGCCATGTCCCAGGACTTACCAACTGTACAAACAAAAAGACACAGAAATTCAGATAGGTTATGTGGGGGTGAATGGAAAAATCATGGTACCATTGTACCTAATGGTAACAGAGGGGCCACATGAGACCAGAACGTCAAGGATCAAGCCCTAATATCATCTCTACACAACGAAGAAGAAGAAAAAAAACTAAAACCGGAAAAAGTGGACAAAAAATTACTAGTAATTTTGGATACAAACTACGAAAATAAAATCCGTCGGATTATCAAATCGAATTGGGCTCTGTTAAAATTCAATCCAAACTCAATCCGCTGACAGACGGATTATCAAATCCAATTGGACTTTGCTAAAATTCAATCCAAACTCCGTGCCTTTTGTGATTGTGGTCCAAGCAAGGTATCACAAGGAAAGTAATTTACACGAGTTTATATAAAATACATGAAAATGCCGCACACAATAAAGAACATAAAAAATTAAAAACCATTCCACCTGTACCCAGTCTTGTCCCTTAGTGTTTTAATTTTTATTTTTTTTTAATTATTTCTCAGTCTAAATAGCTTTACATTAATAAAAAATCACAGACCACATGGTACATGGTTCACCCATCATTTAAATTCCCAATTCTACTTTTCTAGTACCAAGACCAAGTCATCAATCCAAATGGGGGTAGTTTTTTCAAACACGAAATGTGTTTAAATTTCACCAAAAAATTCATTCGCCTTTTAATTACTTACCGGGAAAAAAAAAAATCATTCATGTTGGATATAAGCATAATAGTACTCGTTATAAGACTTTGTGTGGGTTTTTTTGGTATNACCATCTCTACACAACGAAGAAGAAGAAAAAAAACTAAAACCAGAAAAAGTGGACAAAAAATTACTTGTAATTTTGGATTGTTAATTGATTTGGATACAAACTACGAAAATAAAATCCGTCGGATTATCAAATCGAATTGGGCTCTGTTAAAATTCAATCCAAACTCAATCCGCTGACAGACGGATTATCAAATCCAATTGGACTTTGCTAAAATTCAATCCAAACTCCGTGCCTTTTGTGATTGTGGTCCAAGCAAGGTATCACAAGGAAAGTAATTTACACGAGTTTATATAAAATACATGAAAATGCCGCACACAATAAAGAACATAAAAAATTAAAAACCATTCCACCTGTACCCAGTCTTGTCCCTTAGTGTTTTAATTTTTATTTTTTTTTAATTATTTCTCAGTCTAAATAGCTTTACATTAATAAAAAATCACAGACCACATGGTACATGGTTCACCCATCATTTAAATTCCCAATTCTACTTTTCTAGTACCAAGACCAAGTCATCAATCCAAATGGGGGTAGTTTTTTCAAACACGAAATGTGTTTAAATTTCACCAAAAAATTCATTCGCCTTTTAATTACTTACCGGGAAAAAAAAAAATCATTCATGTTGGATATAAGCATAATAGTACTCGTTATAAGACTTTGTGTGGGTTTTTTTGGTATCCTTTCTAGTTTTTAAATTTAATATTTTTGTCGGATTGGTGAATACCCCTCCAAAAATAAATATTAACAAGACTAACGTATGTGGCTATCCACTTTGATTTCAAAATAATGTACGGTTAAAAGGCATGATCGATCATAAAAGATTAAAATCGATACCATATTTTTCATAATCGATCATAACCTCTCTTAAAAAATTATAATTTTTTTAAAATTATAACTATATTATAAAAAATAATAACATATACAATACGAAAAATCGTAGAGTTTACCTAATATATTAGTCTGGTCCGTCCATAGGAAAGGTTGTGGATTTAAAAAAACCATGCCTCGTGTGACAGATATACTTCTACATCATACCCTGTTGTCCTTTTATACACTTTTCTTGTCCTTTCGTCTCAAAGGAAAAGGCAGAGTAGGCCATGAACAATAAATGTTGCCCCCCCTTCTCTCTTCCAAGTTCCAATCCCAACCCAATTGGCCCCAATACCTAAATCATTATTACAACTACAATCACCAGTTGAGCTTTTTTTTTTTTGTGTTTAAATTTGCGTCAACCCGTCAATTAATTAATTCGATCGCGAATTAATTTAAAATTATATTCCCAAAAAACAGGAGGGTCTAATGTAAAAAATATAAAATATAAGACTTCAAACAAAAAGAAGCAGGATTTTTCAATTTTGCTTAAGATTTTCTCTAGAAACAATAACTTTTTTCACAATTCTACTTACTTTGTGGCATTTAATAAAATTGAAAAAAATAGTCAAATAACAGTTGAATTGGATTTTATTGAATAATACTCAACCCAACTCGACTTGTCTAGATAAAACTTTATACTAAGCTTGTTTTGGTGCACTTCGCAAATTCTATTCCCACAAAATACTCTAAATTTTGCTAATTACATCGATGATCACTGTTGTGTCGTGTTTTGGTAAAAGACCCAAAAAAAAATCCTAAAATTTTCTAATCTCCTTGATCATAAAATAATCCATAGCAAATAATCATGCAAAATTATTATTATTATTATCAATGAAACTAAGAAATTGAAGCGCAGAGAGAGAGAGAAGCTTACGTTCACTGTGCGCTGAATGAACTTGGCTCTCTTCTTGGGTCTCTGAGGGAGTTTAGACCCCTTTAGGACCATGAAATCCTCCTCTTTCTCCTTGTTCGTCAACGCGATCACGAACTTCGGCGGCCACACTGCCGGAATCGCTTCACTCCCCGACGATGACCCTCCTCCTTTCTTGCTATCATGCGCTGTACCCGACGATGCCGACCCACCACCACTGCCAACAACAACAAAACCGTTCTTATTATCATCATTATGATTGTTGGTGATGGACCTGGTGGCGTTGGTATGGTGGTTAATAGTTTTCTTATCGTGCGCACCCCCTCTGTCCGGAGAAGCCAGCCGTCCCTTTACGCCGTTACTGTGTCCTCTCATGGCAATTGAACTCTCAGAATTCCTAAAAAAGTAAATCCACGCAAACACAAACCCAAACCCATTACAGGTTAGAAAGAACTCCTAAATTATAAAGAAAAATTGTAAAAAAATAAACATGACAAAATATAAAATTACCAAAATAACCTTGTGTGGGTTTCTAGCGGCCACTAGTCTCTAGATCAAGACTTTAAAAAAAAAAAGTGGTATAGTAATTGAATCTAATGTGCGCAGGTGGGGGAAAGGGAAGTGGGAGAGTACTAAATGGGAGGAATAAAGGGTGGGTTTGGTTTGTGGCTAGATTTAAGCCGTTGGTTGGGGGTGTTTTTGCCTTAGTTATTTTGAGGAGGTAGAGAGAGAGAGAGAGNATATACAATACGAAAAATCGTAGAGTTTACCTAATATATTAGTCTGGTCCGTCCATGGGAAAGGTTGTGGATTTAAAAAAACCATGCCTCGTGTGACAGATATACTTCTACATCATACCCTGTTGTCCTTTTATACACTTTTCTTGTCCTTTCGTCTCAAAGGAAAAGGCAGAGTAGGCCATGAACAATAAATGTTGCCCCCCCTTCTCTCTTCCAAGTTCCAATCCCAACCCAATTGGCCCCAATACCTAAATCATTATTACAACTACAATCACCAGTTGAGCTTTTTTTTTTTTGTGTTTAAATTTGCGTCAACCCGTCAATTAATTAATTCGATCGCGAATTAATTTAAAATTATATTCCCAAAAAACAGGAGGGTCTAATGTAAAAAATATAAAATATAAGACTTCAAACAAAAAGAAGCAGGATTTTTCAATTTTGCTTAAGATTTTCTCTAGAAACAATAACTTTTTTCACAATTCTACTTACTTTGTGGCATTTAATAAAATTGAAAAAAATACTCAAATAACAGTTGAATTGGATTTTATTGAATAATACTCAACCCAACTCGACTTGTCTAGATAAAACTTTATACTAAGCTTGTTTTGGTGCACTTCGCAAATTCTATTCCCACAAAATACTCTAAATTTTGCTAATTACATCGATGATCACTGTTGTGTCGTGTTTTGGTAAAAGACCCAAAAAAAATAATCCTAAAATTTTCTAATCTCCTTGATCATAAAATAATCCATAGCAAATAATCATGCAAAATTATTATTATTATTATCAATGAAACTAAGAAATTGAAGCACAGAGAGAGAGAGAAGCTTACGTTCACTGTGCGCTGAATGAACTTGGCTCTCTTCTTGGGTCTCTGAGGGAGTTTAGACCCCTTTAGGACCATGAAATCCTCCTCTTTCTCCTTGTTCGTCAACGCGATCACGAACTTCGGCGGCCACACTGCCGGAATCGCTTCACTCCCCGACGATGACCCTCCTCCTTTCTTGCTATCATGCGCTGTACCCGACGATGCCGACCCACCACCACTGCCAACAACAACAAAACCGTTCTTATTATCATCATTATGATTGTTGGTGATGGACCTGGTGGCGTTGGTATGGTGGTTAATAGTTTTCTTATCGTGCGCACCCCCTCTGTCCGGAGAAGCCAGCCGTCCCTTTACGCCGTTACTGTGTCCTCTCATGGCAATTGAACTCTCAGAATTCCTAAAAAAGTAAATCCACACAAACACAAACCCAAACCCATTACAGGTTAGAAAGAACTCCTACATTATAAAGAAAAATTGTAAAAAAATAAACATGACAAAATATAAAATTACCAAAATAACCTTGTGGGGGTTTCTAGCGGCCACTAGTCTCTAGATCAAGACTTTAAAAAAAAAAGTGGTATAGTAATTGAATCTAATGTGCGCAGGTGGGGGAAAGGGAAGTGGGAGAGTACTAAATGGGAGGAATAAAGGGTGGGTTTGGTTTGTGGCTAGATTTAAGCCGTTGGTTGGGGGTGTTTTTGCCTTAGTTATTTTGAGGAGGTAGAGAGAGAGAGAGAGAGTGTGTGTGTGTGGACCCCATTTGCTAATCTTTGATTTTGGATCAGACGGTGTGAAATGGTTTTGGGAGTGGGATTGGGGGTTGAGGTGGGACACATGGCAAGATACCTTAATCAACTTTTGAAGTCTAGAAAGAGGAGTTATGATTTCATGTAATACAGTCTACCATAAACAACATTATCACATACCAGCTGTTGGGTAAAAAAAAACTTGAATTTCAAGTCTTTCTTTTTTATCTAAAACGGATCTCTCTCGTCAAAAGTATTTCAAGTGTACATCTGACAAGATAACGTCCACGAAAGCGTATACACGAACACTATCCCTATCCCTACTTCCAAAAAGAGCCTTAATGAAAAAAGGGATAACCCATGACAAAGAGGAACACTCTCATCTGGACCATTAATTCCCATATCCATCAAGCAGAAAAGACCATTAATTTCCCACTTGGGAGAACGATGGACAGTGACCCAAGGGCCCCCAAAAAATAAGCACTCCCTGAGCCCAATATGACACAGTTTCCAGGCAGTAGGGGTATCTACTTCTTGTCAACTAAAATAAAATCAGCACTATTAAACTGGGTAATTGACTTGGTCTAAAATGGGCGACCTTACTCTGTTCTATCTATAGGGTCGTACTTTTCTATTCTAGAGTTCTAAGGAGACGGAAAAACCAGTGTTTTAAAATTCAGTCTGGCCGGCCCGACGGATTAACTCGGTGACCCGGTTTCTTAATCGGGCCGATTTTGTAATTAGATTATTTGAGCAAAAAATTCGGAATAAAACCGATAAACGGGTCAAAAAATCTGTACCCGTGAAAATCGGACGGGTTTATAAAACCGGCCGATTTTGTTCCTTTAGTATAAATATGTCTTTTTTTTACATTTTTGTGTCTTTTTCTTTTCTCCTTCTGTTTTGCCTTAAATCTTAAATCATTCGTTCAGTGTTTGTTAACTCAAAAATTAAGTGACTACAATTAAGTGATTCAGGTTTAAGGGTGGAGGTTGGGCTGTTAATTGAATGCAATTAAGTGATTCAGACTTGATAACTTTATTTGATTTAATATATATTAAACATGTTATTTTTATAACTATTTTAATTTTTTAGTCTATTTATCATCATTAATAATTATTTTTTAATTTTTTATTATATCACCGGTTCGACCAGTGACCCAATGATTGAACCAAAAATTCATTGACAAGGTCCCTCCTCCGTATTGATGTTTAGGACGGGTTTTAAAACTATGCGGAAAACCAAGGCTGGTGGATGAACAATGACCGTGTATTGTTCTGGGCTATCTGGGCAGTAGCGGATCGTTCTTAGCAGGTCTCTGCTGCTGGAATGGTCACACGGTTGTCTGTCTGACAGACTCCGATCCCCCTTTTTTAAATTTCTTCCGATGTACCAAAAAAACAATAACCAATCCTGCCTAAAACCTCATCAGCCTGTTTAAAACGTGCATATCTACCAAACCTTAAGTTAAAATTTTAATTTATAAAAATACAATAACGTTTAGGATCAATTTAATTTTCATATATTTTAATTTTAATAATAAAAAATTTATCCTAATTTTTTTAAATGATTATTAATATCAAACAACTCAACAAATACATTATTCAATGACAAACGATCTCATTAATTCATCTTTACCTTTATCTTATTTTTTCTTTGTTTATCTTAATTTTAAATTATATAATTAAAAAATTATAATTAAAAATATAAATATTACACAATTAATATTCAATTCAATTTTTGGTGGCAGACACAAAATTATTGCCATTACTATATATCCGATCGAAAATTGCTAATTAGTCGAGGAAAGAAGAGAGTACCTGAGAATGCGATGAGGCGGCGATGCTGGCCGTTGACGGAGGTTCAGATAGCCGTTAGTTTGGTTATTGGTAGTAGTGGCGGTGGTGGGTTGATTCGAGTCCACGTTGTGATCCGATCTGACAACCCGGCGATCAACCCGAACCGTTGTTCTCTGAACTGGGTTTGGACCGGCCGAGTCCTTGTTCGTGGTGGTGGTGGTGTTAGTGTCCCTCACCTGAAACTTCATACAGCGCAACCGCTTCCGGTTTCCCCACTGCAATACGAAGTCAGACGACGTCGTAGCCTGCGATCTGGTCTCGGATGCGTCGTTTGTTGATCTTAGCAATGACCCATCTCGATTGTTGTGGTGGTTCTTCTCCATCTCTCTCTCTCTCTCTCTCTCTCTTGTACACCTGTTCACATCATAGTTCACTCTGGTCAGTTTGGTAAGTCCATTTCGAATAATTTTCTCAAAAAAAAATTAAAAAAACAAAGAAAATTCAAGTTTTTTATTGCTTCTGTAAAACTTTATGCAAAATCAAACAAAAGTGGTAGAAGACGAACTAGTTAATGATGAAAGGCACAAATTAAGATTTTTCACTGAAATTAGAACGTTATTGCGAATATAGCAACTTTTTTAGATGTAGGGTCTAAAAATGGGTGCTCTGTAAAAGATCTAACCTCAAACTAGCAAGAAGCTGCTTGTTTGTTTGCCGAGAATACTCACCGGAACAGGAGACACTTTCTGAAAATGGTTGAGATTAGAATTGGGTTGGATTTTGGGGTGTGGGGGAGGGAAGACTTGCCTCAAATCTCAAGGTTTTCTATCAAACGAGGCAATGACAACAGAAAGGATTTGAAAGCAGTGAAACAGAGGAAACCCGAGAAACAAATTGGATTCCAAATACGAAAATGGTTGAGAGAGAGAGCGATTTGCAAATTAACTGGTGATTGTCAATAAGAAGAAGAAGAACAAATAATCAGATTTTCAAAGACCCAAAATATAAGGAAGAAACGCGATGGATTTACTCTAATAAAAAAGATCAAAGAGGGAAAAACACCCAAAGGTACTAATTAATGGAACAGCCATTGATGGATAAAAGAGCTTGTGAAGCAGAAAGTGGAGGAAAAAAAAATCTATATACAAACCAAGAGCTTCAATGGCTACATCTCCGAATTCACACATCAACCCTCTGGGAAAACAGCGGAAAAAAGAAGGGTGGGTCCAGCTCGGAAAAGCATCGCCGTTACCTGAAACTTAACGGCTCCAACTCCGTTTCTCTGAATCCAATTATGAACACAGATTAAGTTGATTCAAAACACAACCACAGCAAGAGGAACAATCAAACGAGCTTTGATTAAACAGTCCCTGAATATTCAGGCAGACGGATCCGAAATCTCCAGCTTCTCTATTTCAAAGACCAATTTGCTCAAAACAGAGTCGCCCAAAGAGACTGCAAAACCAAAGCACAGCAAATCATCATCAGCTATATTCAAATATCCAACTTGGTTTAATTCTGATTTTTCCAAGCGCCATTGTTTTGTACCTTTCTTTCTTTCTTTCCCAGTCAAAAAAATCACTGCTGAATTAACAGATATTCGGTCCTTTTTAATTGATTCTTGAAGAAAATGACAATAATTTCCAAGTTTCAATTCTCGATCTACGTCTTTGGTCTGAATTTTCAAACCCCAGAAACCGATCACCCTAGTTCAAAACTTCTCCGAATCTCTCGCAAATGCACCTGTCAAACCAGAGATTGAAAAACATTATAAAGTTAAGCACAAAACATTGTTCATAGCACAGAAAAATTCACAAGTAATCGGATTTGTCTCTTCAATTGCAAACCTTTAACTCAGCTTTGTTGTCTGTTTTCCTCCTCAAGTTCTTACGAAAAAGGGACCAAATCTTCACCAAAGCCCAATCCAATCTCTAATCCTTCGGGAAACCCCTTCAAAACTCTTCCAATGTATGTGTAAACCAATATTTTAGACAATCATAGGTTATTTTATATAAATCATCAATCAAAAAAGGCAATAGAAATCACACTCTGTTATCATATACCAACCTTTAAAAAACTCCAATCTCTTTCTCTCTCTCTCTCTGCACAATATCGAAGCTTCACAAGCTCCAGATCTCTCACACCGAAACAGCTTCAACATTTAAATCATTCGGATTTTCTCAGTTTCTTTTTCTCTAAAAAGTGAAAGGAAATTCAGAGAGAAAGAACTTCTGAATTCCAATACAACGAAATGCTGTGACCCCCTTCGAACCCCCTGGTTTTATTTATACTCGCCGTTTTCCATTACACATTCCGTCACAGCATTACCGTCCATCTCTCACCGTTTATTACGAATCTAACGGTCCAGATCTCTCTAAGTTTGAACCGTCAGGCCCGTCTAATTCACGTCCCCGCTACGGCGTAACTGTGTCCCACTCTCAACCTCATTCCACTTCACCCCGTTAACTTTTGAAACGGAATCTTTGACTCTGTTAGTTCGCCGTCGCCGTCACTTAATTTAATCCCGTGTTTATTTTAATCAGAACTGGTGCGATGGCGCTTGGTTTAAGAACTTTAATTTATGATTCGAATTTTGTTTAAATCTTTAAATTTTTTATTCAATATCCCTAATCTTTCAACGTTGGTTTAATGTGATCCCTCTTTGGGTGAAATTTATTGAGAGAAACCAGCATATTGGTCGTCTAATGACTTGCAGTGTTTTGTTTAGAGTAATGCTACATTAACTTAAATATTAATGAGGTTTAATTTACAAAAAATTATGTTATTTTTATTGGGAATTAAATTATGACTCGAGTCAATCTATGAGAGGATTTGTCGTTTTTCTATTTGGTAGGCTTCCCTCATGGGTTCGGGCAACCAATGGTTGAAGAAAACGATAATCAAAACTTGAATGTTAAGTAATGATCAAATNGTAGTGTTTTGTTTACAGTAATGCTACATTAACTTAAATATTAATGAGGTTTAATTTACATAAAATTATGTTATTTTTATTGGGAATTAAGTTATGACTCGAGTCAATCTATGGGAGGATTTGTCGTTTTTCTATTTGGTAGGCTTCCCTCATGGGTTCGGGTAACCAATGGTTGAAGAAAACGATAATCAAAACTTGAATGTTAAGTAATGATCAAATTTGGATTAGGTTTCGAGTGATCTTAATTGGATCTAAAAACTCCAATCTAAATATGCTTTCAAAACTCTTTTTATAAATTCAATCTAATTATTTAATGAATTTTAGTTAAACAGTCTACATCCGATAAGTTAAATATTTAAAATTCGATCGAATTAGTAAGCCAATTAAAATTAGATATTAACAAATTACACCTTAATTTTGATTCAATTTCATCAAAAGTATTATTATATAACTGAATTGGACTCGGATTGTTGAACAATAATCTCAATTTGTTTGACTAATCAAATCGAATATTTATTAAAATTTATTTTATTAACAAACCTAAGTTTTAGATGTATAAAAGAATCTCNGAATTGTTGAACAATAATCTCAATTTGTTTGACTAATCAAATCGAATTTTATTAAAATTTATTTTATTAACAAACCTAAGTTTTAGATGTATAAAAGAATCTCATTTAATTTCTAAGATATGAAACTATTTCTAAATTTAAGAAATTCTTCAATGGGGGCAAGTTTTTAAAATAATTAAATNTCATTTAATTTCTAAGATATGAAACTATTTCTAAATTTAAGAAATTCTTCAATGGGGGCAAGTTTTTAAAATAATTAAATTTCTTAAAATTTCAAAAAGACACCAATTTTTTTTTTAAATTGTTGTGGGGGCCAACTACCCCATTGGCCCCACCCTCCCTCCACCCCTTCGGACAGCTATGGCCACGCCTAGGCAAGGGTTTCACCCCAGATGTCCCTCAAATTTTTTTTAGATTACAGAAAAAGAAAAAGACAACTGTACATTATCGTGACAATAGTTTTTTATTTTTTATTTTTGGAATAATGCGTCAACCTTACTATAAGCTACGGGTAAAGATGTAACAACATTAGAATCAATCAATCTTCTAAGAAACACAAGACAAATTATCTGAAAAAGAGCATGAGCAAACACCTTGTCTTTCAAAACACATAACAGACAAAACACGATGTTTTAAAGTTGCAAACTTGCAAACGAAACACGAAACAAACAATATCTTAAATAGTGAAACTAGGGCATTACAGCATGGTATCAAAACAGACTGTGTCTCGATGTGGTGGTACAGGTCTTATACGAGGACGAGAAACCAAATCCATGTACCAGTTTTGTCTCTCGTTTTCACTTCAGGCTGTGTTTAATGCAGATTCAAACTTTGCATACAAGCACTGTAACATTATGTGCAGCCAAAACAAACATCACATTTTTTTTTCGTTACATAGCAGTCAAGTAGATGTGTGCTTCCTAGCTGTATTTACAGTGAAGTGACAAAATATTAACAAGCAGCAAATTATAGTAGCAATAGGAATACGTATATAGAGGAACACTACGTCATATTGGAATAAAACGATGGGTTGGTCTTTCAGGTTGCGGATTCTGTGACAATCAGGCACTGAACCCCCTGTGGAGAGAGCTCCAAGAAGTTGAACGAATGGTGACACAAGCTTGTGCTGATGCCTCAGCCATCTGCTCCTTCCGAATTCCAGCGTTGCAGATGTTGGCAATGGAGCGCATGTGTTTCATTCCATATTGAGAAAAGGATCCACAGTGTGCCTCGAATGTTCTGACCTGCAAAGAGAACAAGAACGCTCCATTTTCACAGGCATCAAAATAGCTTGAAATAATTCTTGTATAAAAACTTTGAAATAAAAAATCCAAGCTTGTTTATGTTTTAGATTTCTAACGAAATCAAGAGAATGATTTTCCTTCTTATGAAAACCAATCCACAAACCTCTGCGTCTCTACAATTTCCTTTCCATCTGATATGACAAATTCAGTCCCAAAGAAGTGGGTTATTTTGAAACTAATGCTCCGTTTGGTACGATAAAAAAATTAAATGATGGAAAGTTGAAGGGATAGATAAAACATCATGTTTAGTAAGGAAGAAAAGTAGAAATGATGGAAAAGTGGATGGATTAACTTTACTTCTAACTCATCAAAATCAATTCTTCTAAAATCAGAAAGAAAGTGGATGAAAAATTAATTATTTGTATTGAGATGTATCTTATTTGTCTATATATATTATGTATATATTAATTTTATATAAAAATATAATGATAAAATATGTATATATATATATATTTAAAAAAATAATAAATAAATTAAAATTTTAAATTAAAAAAAATATTTTTTTTATTTTAATCAGGGGTGAAAATTTTTAACTCAACACGATGACACGACTCGAACTCCACACAAATTTTATGACACGAATTTGATCATAACTCGACACGAACTTGAAAATAGCCTAACATGCGAACAAGAAATATAAAAAGCTTATAATTTTATGACTCAACATAAATCTGACACTACACGACTCGATTGTCAACCCTAATCTTAGCCATCACAAAAAAAAATTAGTCACTTTTATTTTTCATCTATTCAACCAAACATAAAGGAAGGAAAGTGTATCATTCCTACTTTCCATCCTTGAAGGATAGAAAATGTATTCCTCTTACTTTTCATCCTTCCTACCAAACAGAGCATAAGTAACTTATATAGATTTAGAAGTGTAAATTATGACAAAAATAAGGAAGGAAAAAAAAATCTTACCAATGTTTTAAGGCAGTCCCAGTCATCAACAAGAGGCTGCCCAGCAGGTCGGATAGTCTTCAACACCTCAGTGCCTTTGTCAATTCCAAACAACAGCTTTCCAATAAGATTTACACTGTTGTCCAAGTGCATTTTATGTGACATAGCTTCAGCAAACTGCTTCTGAGCTTGAAATTTTCTATCAGAGCCTTCAGGAGCCTTGCGGAACTGCCAACAATGAACTGATATAAAAAAAAAAGATAGGGTGCATAAAAGTTTTTCTACCTGAACTTTTTTGGGAAAATGTAACGAAAATAGGTGGTCAAATATAATGGAGCCCTAATATAAATGTTGGACTATTTATCGCATCAGACTAGTGGAGTTGCTATTAAACTGGTTTTGGTGGTTTCATACAAAAGTTGTGACTGGAAATGGATTCTTGGTCCTAATATCCTGCTACAATTATTGTTGAACAAAAATGCACCATATAGGAGCTTATCAAATAACATGAAGAGACTACAACATTGTTCCAAGTTCCAACAATCTATTTGCAGCATTTAGTTTTTCCAAATTTCAGTACTAGTAAAGGTTCCTTTAAGAATTTCAATCAATGAATCAGAGCAACCACCTCTTGATAGTTCCTAGCTTGGAAAGGAGTTATGACAGGTAAAGGCATTAAGGGATTCCATTTGGTATACCGAGAATTGGATACAAACCTTGTGCCAGAAATGTAAAAGATCGGCGTCGCGTTGGTGAACTGTTTTTGAAGAAAGCCGCAGGGAGTTGTCATCCACAAAAGTATAATTATCATTTGCAGGATTTGTACCAATATAGAGGAAAAGATTTTCCTTGCTAAGCTGCAGATCGCCATATTGCTTGACATGGGAACCATATATAGAGTTCTCGTTTGCAGTTCTCCTTTTAACCTGCAAATGCCAGCATAATGAAATTACAAAATCAACTGAAGTATATAAGAGCATACAAAAGGGAAGGCCAGTAGAATATTCTGTGTGAAGACTCCTTCAACACAGATCTACACCTGTATTGGCACACATAATTTATAAGAAATGAAGTTCATTTATGTTTTTGAGCCTATAAAACATTATTCTTTCAATTTTCTATTGTGACTCAAGTAATATTAGTTTCTTGCAAACTGTTAAACTTCAACATAAGGCCATAAAATCTTACCAGTTCATACTGCTGCCGCAGTGTTTCCCTCCGCAGATTGTGTATGTCACTGTTCACGAGGTCAAAAGATTAGTTATCGCTCCCACAAGAATTGCACCATTGAGCAGCAAATAATAAACAGTTAAATTCTCATTTTAAAACACCGGCTGATTTGGAAGGCCAAGCCGTTGTAGGTCAAGTATGTACACTTCAGGAGAAAGAAGTTTCAAGAGGTCACAACAATTAACCTCAAGTCCAGTACCTAACATTTAGCTACCCATCGGTTCTTCCTTCTTTAAAAAATACAAAAAATATAAATTTTTAAAGTGTGACAAAGCTGCGAAATTTACCAAACAAGTAAACCTTATTTTGCAACGAACCAGATAAACCAGGAAAAGTAATCAGCTTTTATTTCAAGACTTCCACATCGTGGTTCAGAACTTGAGATTACTGCCTCCCTAGTTTGCCACAACCATTTCTTTTCCATAATTATTACACAATACATACAATCAGAATGAAATCTGCATTACCTGTCCTCCATCCAGGCAACACTATACAAGTCGCCCAAACATGTATCATATTCTGGGGGAGGACTAGGATACTCCCCAGGGCAATAGGTTGCCCAGCTGCTCTCTTCTGCATTCGAGGCCGTGGTTGCATAGATATTTAACCCTTCAGGAAGAAGACCCTCAAAGATACTTCCTGACTCACACGCTTCAAGATAGAATACCTGTTTAAAATATAGTCGACAAATCTTAGATAGAGCTGGTAGAAAATGTGCTCAGTAAGTGACAATCAACCAATAGTTTACCAAGCTTTTATATGTCCCAGAAGCATGCTTCTTTTTCAAGACATCTATCAGATCTTTTGCATAGATGTAAGGACTGGTAGGCATCCCTGTCAATTAGAGCAACATTCCCACAGTTTAGTATATATAAATGTCCAAAACCTGAAATCATTTAAGATATGATAAAAAAACATCGAAAAGTAAGCACGAGCCCAAAACTTTGAAACTTCGCAAAGTAGCTTCTTCTCCAGTGCATCGAGAGAGAAGTTTATTCTGTCTAATGTCTGTTCTGCCTAAATTGCAATAGTTTGAACGTCAGAAGGCTTAAAAAATAGATTCACATGCATCGAATCACTGGATGTCAAAATTAAAATCTGTTGCCACAACTTCAAAGCAAAAAGCTATACTGTAAAGGCTAGTAGGTATATCACCAAAGTGATGACACTAAAGTTTTTTGGAATCTGCAAGTTTATGGGAGTAGTAAAGGGCATTGTCCTCGGTGCAGATTGTTGGACCAAGCTACATCTTGAGATAGAATTGTAAGTTACAATTTTTTATGGGATTTTTTATTTTTTGTGCCAGAGAGTTCCCACAATGTCCAAAAAGCTACATAACATGAATTATTCCTTTGAGGTTAGACTGTGTCATGCACTACCACAGGCCAGCATCATCTTCAGATCCCAAACATGGGTGCATAAGAGATAATGCACCAAGATTGAATGTCAGATGCAAGTAACGTTTTGCTAAGAACATAGAAACATAAAGCAACAAAGATTTGAGACTTTTCCTCTCAAACCAGACAAAGAAAGTGTAAACCCAGGCAATTATTCGAAGATAGTTACTAACCAAGCACCCCAGGACCGCCATGATCAGAATAGTATATGAAAATATGATCATTTGGACCACTGTCCACGACCTTCCCACTGCCCCCTTTAACTGCAGTTTGGTTTCCAAGTAGAACTGCAAAAAAATTGTGTACAGTAACATCATCCCCGGTATAATCCTGCATCAAGAAAACTGACTACGTGAAAAAAAGATGGCATATCTTCGAATTTACAACTTGGATGACACCTGAAGAGTAGAAACAAACCTTTGGTACTCCTTTGTAAACATCACTACCATGTGGGCTGTTTATGATGACTCCAGGCCTAGGGTTCTCTTCATTGTAAGCAATGTCATCATACATGAGAACAATGATATTCTCATCTTTGAGACCACCTCTCTTGAGGAGTTGATAGGCATGGCATACATCTGCCTGGAACAAACATAGTGCCCAATATTAAAAGATAAGATATAGATAGAAATATATAAAATTTAACAGCCTCAAAAATTAACAACACTCATCGAAGCCCAAAGAACATTAATCCGACTAAATCAAAAGCAATTTGCTTTTTGTAGTCCCAGATTACAAAAATCTAAGTATTAGGACTTAACCGTCTTGAATGTATCAGAACTTGAATTTTTTTTTTCTTATTGACTTTTCGCAGCAACCAACCAGAGAATAAAAATTGAAAAATCCCTCTCCTTGCATATCTCATAAAAAAATTTGGCAACTAAACAGAGCATTCAATTTGAAGAAACTCTCACCTTGCAACCAACCAAGCCTTATGTCCCGATCATTAGGGGTCAGCTAAAACTCTCACCTTGCACTTCATTCTAATATGTAGAGACTGAGATTCATAATTCCTCAACCCACCATGATTTATTCACTCTATCCCAGCATAAGAACTACCTTAACAGTCAAATCTTACAGGAACAGCAGACACTAATTTGTTACCTAGATAAGCCGTTTTTTCCAAATTTTTTGGTACTAAAAATCATAATATGTTATGAAGCTTAACCACTTCAGCGGATTCTATAAAACAGATCTGCATCTTGTTTCCTGTATATTTCTAAATTCCAAAGATTGATGGGGGAAACAACAGTTCTACTTTTCTCAGATTTACTCATGAACAACAAAACATAACTAAAAACCCAGACCAGAATTTCAGAAATTATAGAATAAAAAAGGGAAAAATCGTCTCATTCATAAAAGTTCTACTCAATGAACCCAACCTGAATTTCTAATAAAATTAGAATCACCCAGCCCGAATATAGACCTATACCTCTATAGACACACACAAAACTAATCTTCAACAACACCAAGAACATAATCCACCAAAAATACCCAAAATTCATCAATATCACAAGAAATAAACATAAATTTAAGACACTGAGTAAAAAAAAAATTGAAATAATTTGAGTTATGATTGATTACCTGGTGCCTGTAATTCCAGTATCCATTTGATCCAGCAAGCAGGATCGCCCATCTGGTTCCCACAGAGTCATCATCAACGGCGTTACCAACATCATTTGGACGGAAGAATCTCGCAGCTTCCGAAGGCAATTTCAGCACATCATCAACGGCGTTCCGGCTCTCGACGTCGACGGCGACGATCGACAGCACCAGAAAGAGCAGCGCACCGGCGGGGTACCGAATCATTGTCGTCTCCGGTGAGAAGATATTGAGGGGGGAGAATTTACGGTGTTTCTATTACGTATATATAAAGTCATGATTTGGATTTTTTGATGTGACGTGGACGGATCTGATTCGTTGGTTAGGTCCTGGGCTGCGGGAGGGGTATTTTTTGGTGGGTCCCAAACAAAGTGGCAAATTAATGTGATTACTTTGCTGGTAAGTATTAATAACAATATTACACAGACCATCTCTTTATATCACTTTAATATGCACCATTAAATTAATAAGTCCTACAAAATTTATCAAATATTTAATGACCCTGATTATACCGCATCACCCGGTAGAAGTGAGGTGTTGCACATAAGTGGTATGCACAACATTATTCGGGTATTAATGAGTTGTGACGATAAGTAATGCTACAAAAATTTAATTTAATTATTAAATTAATTATGAGTTTCAACGTGAAATAAAATTTATTTTTAATTCAATAATTATATTGAATTCAGTTCTTAAATTAAATCTAAATAATATTTTTTTATAATGATTGCTTGTTTTGTTATATTGTCATGGTAAGGGTGTCGCGAGTCACGGGATTTTTTTGTAGATATTTTTGGTCCAATAATGATCATCATTTTTATCGTTAGATTTTAAAGTCACAAGTTCAAATTTTATCGTCTTTAATACCTGCAATAGTGTTTGAGAAAAAAAAAGAAATTATAGACATAATCCATAGATACCATATAATAGTAAGATTTAAGGTTTAATCTAACCATATTGAGATGGTAAACACATGACTCGATCAAATTCATTATATAACTATATCAAAAATGACTTAAATAACAAGATATTAATACGAAAAATATTATAAATGTTTTTTAATAAATGAGATTTGAGTTGAATTTTTTTTTTGAAACGACATGATTTACATATGATATGAACCATTACCTACTATTGTAACAATTTTTTGCCAAAAAATCCCATACTGAATTAGAGAGCCAAGTAAATTTTGTTTTTTTCTCGTAAATTGAAAGGTAAGAACAAAATTATCAACAAAATTCCCTTTTTTTATAGAAGCAATGGGATATGGGTTACACTCGAAATTAAAATTTCATCAAACATACTTGTAATGAATTTTTATTTAAAAAAGTAACTAAAATTATCTATTGATAAAAAAAATTATGGGGATCAAGAGTTCAAACCCCATCATGGATAATCACAACATACACATATCCATTATGTCTTGTTTGGATGAATTTTGGAAGAATTTGGATTGACTATCCCAAATTCTTCTAAATTCAAACCCCTTTTTATAAATATGAGATTCAACATTAAATCTAGTTCATTCCTATATTTGGCATGCAAAACATACATTTGTAATACCCACAGATATATCATAATTATTAACAACTATTTATCTTGTAAATAACTTTTTTACCTTTGATCAATCCAATTCATACCTATATCGAGGGGTACAATTGTTTTTTGTATCCCTAAACTCTTAACTCATTTTTTCAAACTTACTTCTCCCTAGGTTTCATGAAACTCATGATCATAGGTTTAATATTCGGTCAGGGCTAGGTTTGAGAACCTAAGATTGAGTTTTTAATTCAAACATGAGATTTGGAAGTCCTTTACACTATTTTCTCCAAACCTATCTTGTCAAGCCCCATACTCTCTTACCAAACAACCCTTTAAAGTTTGAGTAACTAGTTTTTCTAGCCCAATGATAACTTCCAAATATCATTGTAAAAATTGTAGTGGAAATCAAAATTGAAAAACCCATTATCAGTCATCAAACAAAAAAATGAGATTGTAAAACCCAGGGAAAAAAATTTATTATTATTATTATAAATCTTAATTAAAGGAGTAAAATAATAATTAATTGTAAATATAAGGGTCAAAAACATAAAATTTTAAAATATAAATTTATACTATATATATAAGTGTGAAAAACTTTAGTCTTCCACTTTCTCTTCCTCCAGCCGGCTACTAAGTGAGTGAGAGAGAGAAAAGAATATATTTTTTTTTATTTTCCTCATTTCTTCTTCTTCAGATCTACGAAGATTAAATCGTTTAATTGTTTCGGGCTAAGAATTAAAGTTGCTACACTCAACGAGAGCTACGCAATCACACTAAATTTCGTATTTTTCTCCGAAAGAATATCAAAAACGATAATTTAGGCCTAAAGTTTGGGAAGTTAAATTGGGCTTCTTCGACGTTCCAATACGTGGGCTCACGCTACGAGAGTTAGGGTTTCTCCTATTTAGATTTACTTTCAACCTAAAATATGACATATGAAATAGGTAGGGTATGAGTGTATATCACATGTTAAGTCATGACTAGTGTAACTAGTGGGTCAAATATATGATTTATAATTAACTTTGTAATTAGAAAAATCTTATTATGATTAACTTGATATAAGTTAATGTTAGTGGTTTAAAACATGTTAATTGTACATTAGCATTATTTTATGTGTTAAATGACATATCAAGTTTAATAAAATTATTAGCTTGTTATGTGATTATGGAATAATATGTATGTTAAATGATTATTTAACATATAATTATTGTGGTGGACTTGTACTTATGTTTATAAAATTAATAAACATGTTGTCATGTTGAAAATGTCATTATATTGTATTTTTTATGTAATGAACATTGTAAATAGTACCAAAAACAATTGCACATTGAAATGTCATTATGCATGAGTTATATTATATTCATGGGTNTGTCATTATATTGTATTTTTTATGTAATGAACATTGTAAATAGTACCAAAAACAATTGCACATTGAAATGTCATTATGCATGAGTTATATTATATTCATGGGTATTGACATGGGTGAGAGTGTGTGCATGGGATGAAATCAATCACCACATAGGTGGTTGATTGTGGACTCGAAAAAGTTGCATCAAGGTCCGACTGAGTCATACGGAAAATTAAATGGATAAACGTATTGAGGATAGCAAGAAGGGCTAGATTCTCCCTCGGGTGTAAGACCAGCTTACTTAGTTTATACATTTTCTGGCGGTGAAATTTCAGAAAAGTATAACGGCAAAAACGGAGCCGCAGGTGGGATGTCCTGAGAATCCGTTGATGGTTGATGTCCTATTGGTGCAATACCATAAATCATCTCCCCACAAAGACACAAGAAAATAAATTAATTAGTCATTNTGTACGTAATGATGATGATTATGGTAGTATTCAATACTATACAATTGTGAATTGATAGATAAACTTGGTGTGGTCAATATTATACAGGTTGCGTTTTGGATAAAACTTCTCGTACAAATGAGACTCTGTCCAAATTTTATTAAATTATGGACCTCGGTAAATGGGACATAACGATGTGGTATCGAATTATATGGTATCCACAGATATTTTGTGGGTTGATAGGTAATCAATCGGGTAATTACAGACACAAGGATTTTGGGGTGTCACAGAGATATAATACTTTGTCAACAATAATATATCTAGTAACAATTCAGAAGTAAGAATTGAAGTTTTTTCATTTAATACTTACGTTCGAATTTCTACAGTTGCGACAATTCGGCAGGACTAAATTTACTCTTCAATACTCAGGGTATGCAATGAGACTTTAGCTTCGATCTAGACGTAGGTGAGGTGAGGTCTCCTGTAGATAATTATGTGATGCGGAGAGGCAATGTTCCTTGACAAATATATTGAGTGATCTATTTACATATTCATTTTATATATCAAAAGAAGAAGAAAAAAAAATGGTTAGTAACACTTTTGATATCTAAAACATATTTTGTCGATTTTGTCTTAATTGTATTAATTTTGTTAATTTAGTTCCTAAAGTTTTAATTCGTGCTACTTTGATCCTTAACTATATAATTCGTCAAATTTTTTGATGAAAATGACCACATATCATTATTTTAGATAGTATCACGCAATCATTATGCTTAAAACTTAATAGTCCGTCTTTATAGAGATCATTTACATACAAACTGAATATTTTAGAAATTAAATTGATAAAATTGATACTTAAAAAACTAAATCGACAAATTATACATATTTTAAAAACAAAAAATGTTACTAAACCGAAAGAAAAAAAAAAGTAATAACCCAAAATAGATTAATCAAGAATGTATTGAGTGTGATTTTGCAAATGTGAATTGCCATGTAGCTTGTTAAAAAAAAAGCTGTCCACATCTAGTGAATGAGGCTTGGTTGGAATGTATTGGTATCTATGTACAAAAGACAAAGTGAACGACACTTATTGAGTGATGCTGACATATACCAATGATCACTTATTTTTCTACAACTTGGTCTATCTTATCACAACCCCACCGTCCAATTTCATTGACCTACTTGCTTTGGAGCTGGACACCTATTATAATTTGGCTCTGACAATTTTATCCTCCCATTTTTTTGAAGTATTTTTTATAAATTTATCTAATCTTATAATTAAAAAATCGAATTCTTAATTTATAAAAACATAATAAAATTTAAAATTTATCCAATTTTTACTAACTTTGATAAAAGAGTATAAAATTTATCTCAATTTTTTTGTACCTAAAAGTATCATATTTTCTACATAGTCCTTAATGTTAAACAATTCAATTAATATACTTCTCAATGTCAAACAACATCACTAATCCACTCTTATTTCTTTCTTTTTTGTATTCTCTATTTCTCCCCCTTATTTGTTTTTTGTTTATTTTAATTTTAAATTATTTAATTAAAAAATAAAAATAAATTATTATGTAATGTTGTATAATTAATATTCAATTTTTGATATTACATCATGTTTCCTAATATACCTACAATGAAAATCCATTTTCATTAATTTTCAATTTGGCTAGATTTATCTTTTTTAAATTTAACAAACTATACATATGTACAGTCAAACATACACACACATATAAATAGTCCTCTCCAATAGTCAAACATACACACATACACACACATATAAATAGTCCTCTCCAATAGTCAAACACACACACACACACACACACACACATATAAATAGTCCTCCTCAATACCCAACGGATATCCTAGAACACCATCAAGAATTTGTCAATGGGT